CTCTCATTGAGCTCACTGAGTTCACCTCCACTCATTTCCTGGACCCCACGGGCCACAGTTTATAGAAGACGAAGGGTGTGTGAATGTGGAAGAGGGGTTGTGATGGTCTGACTTTCCCGGCTTGAGGACAGCAACAGCAATCCCCAATTCCCCCTGATGGGTCTCTCCCACTTGTCTAGAGTGGATCAGGGACAGAGTGGTGTCCTAGGATCTCAACCGAGCATGAACTTTAGCTCTGAGTTTCCCAAGGCCCCAGGCAAACAGAGAAACAAGACTGGCATGTAACACTCCACGTGAGCTATCTTCTGTTCATTAAGTCCATGAGCAGTTACTGATCGCCATGCTCTGCCAATCACTGTGTCCAATCTCAAGAAAACAAAAAGAGGTCAGACACCATTGATCTCTGCAGCCAAAAGGACTCCAGCAGTACGGTCCAATGGAAATGTAAGAGCCACAGATGGGAGCCACATATGTAATTCTAGTTTTTCTAACAGCCACATGTAAAAAAATAGCAAAAGAAACAGGTGAACCTAATTTTAATAGCCTATTTTAACTCAATATATCTAAAATGTTACTGTCTCGACATGTAATCAATATAAAAATGACTAATGAGATTTTTTTTTTAGTACTTTGAAATCTGGTGTGTATTGCGCACTTCCAGCACTTTCCACTCTGACCAGCCACATCTCAAGTGCTCAGCAGCCCCGTGAGGCCAGTGGCTATCGTATGGGACAGTACAGATTTATAATCTAAGAAAATAAACTTTTCTTTGCCTTAAGCTTTCAGAAGAAAGGATTATGGCATTTGGTGCTGGAGGCTGGGACATTTACATTGTTCCACAAGTGATCAGAAATCCAAAACATATATGGCCCTTGCATTTTTTCTTTTTTACTTGTTTTTAAGTTCACAAGTAGTGAATGAATTTTTATTATAAGGGAAGCAAGAAAGTAAATTGCCCTTAACCTCCCTCAATACTGTTCTATTCCCAGAAGTAGGCCCAACCAACTATCACTTTGCTATAGATCCTTCTATGTATTTACAAGTGTATATGTTTTATTTTATTGTACAAAGATATTTCACAGTCCATGTTGTTCTGAAACTTGGTTTTCTGATGCAACAGTATTTCTTGGTGCTCTTTTCATGTCCACATGTTGAATTACCTCATTCTCTGTAAGGACTACATGATATTCCATAGCCATTTCCCTACTGAAGGGCTTTTGGCCGTTTTTAATGTATGTTTTCACTATTAGTAATACAGCTATCATGAGCGTTCTTGCCCTTACGTCCATGTACATTTGTGTAGGTGTTTTTCTGGAGTAGATAAAAAGGAGTGTATTTGCTGGAAAATCCACATCTTAAGTGACAGCAGGTACCATCAAGCTGGCCTCCACAAAGAAGCTCAATTCATACCCCCTCCTCCCCTCAGTGTGAGGATTTCTCACACCCTTCCATCATACACTGGATCTGATTTTTATTGTAAGGAGGGGTATCAGATTTCAGTAATGATACAAAAGCAGTAGAAAAAATAATAATTTTGAGATTTATTCTACAGTATTCTTCTATTCATATCCAGAGACTCAATTCCAGGCCCAGAGTGAGTCACTGAAGAATTTTAATGAAATCAACGAGAATGTAACGGCATCATCATGTCCTATTGTGGGGCATTAGACTCTAAAGCGAGTGATAACTAAATATGGTCAATGTTACCCCCACACAACGATCCCTCAAGAAGTGCCCTAGTGAAGACCGATGTACCTCCTCTCTGTGAATCCAGTTTTTCCTCCAGGCCTGGCACGGATCTCCAGTTCTTTGTTCAAACACTAGATGACGTTGTAAGCTTATTCGGGGGTCTTGTAGAAAAAAACCATAAATCTTTGAATAATCAGCCCACCTAAGCTGTTCACCCCCCGAGAGGCCCTCAGGGAAGTGAGACCTAGACCACCTGCGAGAGTGGAGTTGCCCTCAGTCCACCTCATTCGGAGCCATGTGCTCATGGAGCAGGGAAGCAGGCACTCCTCCCTCACTTGCACTATTCATTTGTTTTTTTAAACGTTTTATTTATTCATTGCGAGAGAGAGCACACGCATATGAGCGTGGAAGGGAGGGGCATAGAGAGAATCTCAAGCAGACTATCTGAGCTTGGAGCTGAGCCTGAGGTGGGGCTTGATCCCACAACCAGAGCCCAAACCAAGAGTTGGCCACCCAACCAACTGAGCCACACAGGTGCCCCCACTGGCACTTTCTTCTTGCCAAACTCCTCTAGTGGGAGCCAGGTTAGGTTCAAAGCTTTCTATGAGATTCCGCTGTTCCGGTCTTCAAGTGACTAAACTGTCTTTCAAAACCATGCAGTGTATTTGTTCAACCAGGGCAAATCTCACCTTCAGTTTTCAGGAATTTCAGGATAGTACCCGTGTGGTGCTCACAGAGCCCAGGCATGGCCTGCATGGGGCCATGAGGCCATATGTATTCTCACACAGATGGCTCCCTCTCCCCAGTTCTGTGGACACTTCTATGGCACCCTGGGCTCAACACACCCTTGTCTACACTTCAGATACCCAGAGGGAGATTAAGTCACTGTCACAGTCCCTGCTTGGATTAGAGTTCAGTGTATTGTGACCACTATTATTTTTATGGTGTTATTTTGAGTAATTCAATATCTTCTTCTAATGATCTTAGATGAAATGTAAGGCATCATGATAAAGACAGAGCTTTCCTTTGTGGGCTTCCTTCTGGATCCAGAAGGCAATAACCAGGCAGGCAGCCTCCTAGTGTCATTGGGGAAGGGTGCAGATGAGCGACCATGGAGCCTCCAGCAGGATTTACCTGCCATGGTCTAATGCTCAGCTTTGAATTTCCAGAGCTTGGTTCAGAAATGGCACTTGCAAGCAAATTCATATAAACCATGCTACTAGGAAATGATCTAAGACCAGAATCTGTGCATTGATTTGTTTGCTCATCAAACTTTTACTGACACTGAGCTTGAGCCAGGCCATATCCTAGGCTCTGGATATAATGAGAAAAACAGGTTTGGTCTTGGTGGTCTAGTAGGACATAAGCAGGCCATTCCAACCCAGTGAGATGAGGTGTTATGGTTATGGGAGCAACTAAGAGGAAGTGACATATCTAGCATGGGGAAGAAAAGAGCCAGTAAAAGAACAGTATCACAGGAAAGAGAAGGCATGACTGTTAGAGAAAGATCTCAAAAGAAGAGAACTGAACTTGAACCAAAACACACAGGGGAGGTTGACCTTGGGCAAGAAGAGAGTCTCTTTCCTGAGCAGGGATGGATGGCCAAGGACACACACAATTATAGGATAGGCGAGAGGCAGTTTTTGCCTGTATAATTTACCTAGGGGCAAAGGGTTAGGAGGCAAGTTGACTGCTGAGAGTGAGGAAGAGGTTCTGATTTGGCAAGATTAGAGCAGGCAGTGTGGGAGAATGAGGGGCATACCTGAATGAGGAAATATGCTGACCCCAGCATGCAACGCTGCTGCTGTCCTATAGCACCCACATCCCAAGTGGGGGTGCAGAGAAGTCAGACTCTCCAGGCTGGAGACTTTATAAGCCTGGTGCCGCTGAATTAACAGACCATGGAGCTGGATGAAGAAGGGAGTGAAGAGCACAGGGAGACAACGCACGGAGAAGAAAGCCTGATCCTGGGTTCCTCATCTCCGTGAGGGTTGTCACCAAGCACCCACTGCTACAGTCAGAAACTGGGTATCCTTCTCAATTCCCCCTCAACCTCAATGCATCACCAAGATACATAGGTCCATAGCCTACCTCTCTCTTTGTTCTATCCACTTCTTTTCATCTTCCCTGGTCCCTCTGCTCCACTCCCCCCAGAACTCTGGTAATTCCATGATTATAGGACAGATCTTTGCATCAGAGTCCTTTTACTGCTGGGGAAAACCTCAAATGGCTTCTAGGGCCAGACAATAAATGAGTGAAGCTGCCAGGGACTGTGGCACATTGGAAAGCCCTTCGCCATCTAACAGGGAAGGAGAGTGTTGCCATGAGGAAATGGGGGCCCGGTATTTTGCTAGATCTTTCTATATTTTTAAGAGAAGCTTAAAATAGTTTTATAGCAAAATTTCCTGATTTTTAAATGTAGGCAAACTATTCAAATTTAAAATAACACTGTTCATCACAGAAAAACTTTTTCATTTCTTCTTTCTTTTCTTTTTATTGTATCTATATGACATGATGGGTGTTAGTGGAAACTATCGTGGGCATCATTTCACAATATTTGTGAATCAAACCATCATACTGTGTGCCTTAAACTTATACAGTGATGTATGGCAATTCTTTCTCAATAAAACTATTGTTGAGGTGTTTCAGAGTCAAGTGTGCTGATGTCTGCAACTTACTTTGAAATGCATCAAAAGATGCACCCTTGGGTGAATAGAGGGATGGATAGATATGCGGTAAGACAATGTTAAAAATGTTAATTGGAGCACCTTGGTGATGCATATATACATAATTCTTTCAACTTTTCTGTATGCTTAAAATTTTCAAAATGTAAGGGGAACATTTTTTTAATGGAAAAATAATTGTGAGCCCATGAACCACTACTCTGTGACTTCCGCTACAAGTTTTAACAGACTTTATGAAAGTGAGGCAGAGGTAAATGAGTTCATAATATAGAGGGCATAGAACAATCCCTAGAATATTTAATAAATATTAGATATTAAGATTGTCATCATTTGGAATGGAAGAAATAGACACATTAGAAGAGCTGGACCTAAATTAATTTCATTGAGTGTAGAGTGTATGGACCAGGATTCCATGCTCTTGCTGTGTGAGCTTTTACCTGTAATTTCCATCTCTGTGCCTCATGTTGCTCACCTTTAAGCTAGTAAGAATTGGGCTCTAGGTTCCCCTGCGGTTCTGGAGTTCTGATTGATCTGCTCCCTTTCCCGTTTCTGCCTATAGGTGTCTCCATTACCCTTCTTTTTTGCTTTAATGCCTTTCTAAAAACTACAATTCCCAGGAGCGCCTACAGGCGTCGACGTCGCGCAGTTCTTTGTCGTCGCTCGTGCCCTTTATACCTACTTCCGTCCGCGAGCCACTTCCTTTTCTTTCCGGGGCGCGCGGCGGCAAGATGGCGGTGCAAATTTCCAAGAAGAGGAAGGTGAGATCCTGGGGTCCAGGTCCGGGGAACTGTGGCGCCGCGCGGGTCGGGGCTTGTGGAGAAGCCGTCGCGATACCCGCAGCTCCATGCCCTGCCCCTGGGAGCGGCTTGGGCCGCGTGGCATTCCCTCAGGCGGCGGATGGCGGTGGATTGAACACGGGGCCCGGGCCCGGCGAGCGCAGTTTGGCGGCGGAAAGGAGCGAGAGTTTTCTGCCGCTTCTGGGCGAAGAGCAGAGATGAACACCGGGCGCCCTTCCTGCCCGGCACAAAGCGCTTGTGATCATTTCTTGGTCAACATAAAGCGTTAGTAAACATGTGATATTTTGAGGGGGTGAGCCATTTCCCCTCACGTCTCACTGTGACTTTGGGAACGGGAGGCAGCAGCGTATTCGTGCCTTCTTCGTGCCAAGGTGCGGCCTTCTGACCCCAAAGAGCTCAGTTGGGAAGGCTGCTGACGGGTTCTTGCTCCATCTGCACCCCAGGGAAACTCATGGGCTGATGGAGGGAGGAGACCTGGAAAGAGCGCTTCATCAAGTTTTAACTTTCCGCTTTTCCGTGGGCGAGAACTGTGTAAAGTCCGTTTGCGTTAGAAATAGGGGACTAGTCATTTTGTGTGTACATGATACCGTGTTAATCCACATCCTTTCTCGAGTTAGGAGTTACCAGCTTTTAAGACAAGATAACATGGCTGGAGTCTTCAGATGGTCCAAGTTGTGTCTACAAGTGAGACTACTTAAGTCAGTGTATTTTCGTTAGTTAGGAGGGTAGCATCTTGCTGTACTGAATGAATGAGTTGTGGATGTGCCATTTTAGAGCAGCTTTTTGTTTAGCATGTGTAGGTGCACATAACAAATCTTAAAAACCCTTCAGTGAAGAGAAGATGACGAGTCTGACTGGAGGTGTTATCTTTGCCAGGTGGCCCTACTCCTTGCTGCGTTCTGTGGCGGTTTTAGGGGCCCTTGGGTTAAAGAAACTTCCAAAGGACGACCTAGAGGCATTTGTCTGAGAAGGGTTCTAGATGAGTGTTGGAACAGGGTAATAGAGTGATGATGGGTTGTTTGTTCCAGGTGTTGAATTTTGACGAGAGTTGCGTTGGCGGAAGGACTAGGCAGGAAAATGACGCCGCAACAGGTTCTAATGGTGAATTTTCCCTTTTGGTTAGTTTGTCGCTGATGGCATCTTTAAAGCTGAACTGAATGAGTTCCTCACTCGGGAGCTGGCTGAAGATGGCTACTCTGGGGTTGAGGTTCGAGTTACACCAACCAGGACAGAGATCATTATCTTGGCCACCAGGTGAAAACTCATTTTCTTGGCTATCACCTGTAATTGTTGTATATGCTAGGATGGTGTATTCTGTAAACTTACGGGGACAACCAGTGTATTGGCCTTGGCAAACGTAAATTTCCTTTTTCTTTTTTTTTAAGATTTTTTTTTTTTTTTTATCATTCATTTGAGAGCGAGCACAAGCAGGGGGTGGGGGTGGAGGGACTGAGGGAGAAGTGGACTCCCCATGGAGCAGGGAGCCCGATGCTGGGCTCTATCCCAGAGCCCTGGGATCATGACCTGAGCCAAAGGCAGACACTTAACCGACTGAGCCACCCAGGCGCCCTGCAAATGTAGATTTTCTTAACTGTGTTTTAAATCTGACTCTAGTTTTTGTCATCCAAAATTTGTATTTTCTATGTTAGATGAATGAGACTTTACTATCACATATATATAAAATTTAAAGCCATGTTTGGAATTTTCTGAGAGCTGTATTGTCCGTTTTTGTTCTCAGGACGCAGAACGTTCTTGGTGAGAAGGGCCGGCGGATCCGGGAATTGACTGCTGTGGTTCAGAAGAGGTTTGGTTTCCCTGAGGGCAGTGTAGAGGTGAGTGAGTGTGGCTTATGCCAGAGATTACTGTGGACCTGGAAATGGTTATTTAGGATGGTACTTCTATAAACCCTTATGGTCATGAAGACCTTAGTTGTGATCAGAGTATTACAAATGGATTCGTATTTTGTTGAAGTTATCTTAATAAGAAGTTGGCTTCCTGTTATAGTCCTTTTCTGCTTATTTCTGGTGGTTAAGGGATTTTTTGCTTTCAACTTGGGAATAGTAATGGTATGGATTGGCTACCCCATCAGTTGGTACAGCTGTAGGAACTAGGGATGGGAGGGCAATAAGAAATTCAGATTATGTCACAAAGTGTAGGCTATATGTGGGAAGTAGAAGTGTTTTAGTACTTGAGGGATGCCGTAGTGATACATGCTCTTAGGATGAATGAAATGATTTTTTTTACTGAAAACACTGGGGAAAGTTAACAGGTTTAAGGGTGTGCCCTGTTTCCTTCTTAAAGCTTTATGCCGAAAAGGTGGCCACAAGAGGTCTGTGTGCTATTGCCCAGGCAGAATCTCTGCGTTACAAACTCCTAGGAGGCCTTGCTGTGCGGAGGTAAGTGTCCTGAGACTTTTAATAATTACGTTTTAAAGAGTGGTCAGCGCCATAAGGGGAGTACTCTTCTTGGTGCTTTGGGAATAGAACAAAAACTCCAGGGAGGGGAGGTTAGGATTCCTGTTGAAGTTACTTGGCTCCATTAAGTGTGGGGATTGTAAAGAGATATACCATAGTCCTGATGGGAAGAGCTTATCTGTGAGCAGGGGTGGACTATAAAGGGCATGAGGTAGCTAGGTTGGCTCTGGAGCTGGGCCTACTGATGAGATTTCAGTAGGAGTTCTTTGTGCAATTTCATTATTGTGAAGTAATTGGAATGCTTTGCCTGGGTGTATGAAATTTAGTCTGTACTTCCTGCAGAGCCCTGGGAGGTTTTTCAGCAGGGGAAGGACATGAGAGCTGTGCTTTAGGAAGGTTGACCTGGTGGGGAGATGGGTGGCAGGAAGGGCTGTAGGTAGGGACAAAGAAGAAAGACTGCCTGTCTTCTTTGAATGTCAGGTACACCGCTTAGAACCATGGTCCTCAAAAGCTTGGCCAGCATCACTGCCATCATCAGAGGACTTAGTAAAATAAAAATTCTCAGTCTCCACCCACTGAAATGGAAAGTGCGGGTGTGGCCCAACAACCTGGTCCAGGTGGTTTTTGTACACACTGGAGTTTGACTTGGAAGTTCTGAGACCTAAACCACTTACTAACCTGGACCTTGGCTCTCCTATTTGTAAATGGGGGTCATTATATCCACCTCTCCTTTTTGTGGTGATTAAATGAGATGATGCGAAGGAGCTGGAGCCTAGAGTGATGGGTCCGCCTTTACTTTCCCTGTTGAAGGTGGCAGCTAGCTCTTAGTCTGTCCTAGGGTATACAGTAATAAGTGAGTTGGGGGGCATGATATTTTAAGGCTTAATGTCCGTTTTATAGGCCTAGAAGTCTTTTTCTAGCACTTTAGTCAAGAGAGCTAGTAGTCTACATTTAGTAGTTAGAGTTCCTAATGAATCTGAATTCTGGAGGTTGTGGAGTATTTAGTAAACCACAAGGGGGCCGCTCAGTGACTGAGCTACTTCTGGGTTCTTGCTGATTGCTTACCTGATTGTGAAATGCTGCATTTGCAGAGTGGGCTGGACAACCTGTGCTTGAGTTGTACCAGCCCCACCATTTAATTGCCAGTTTAGGGGCACCTGGGTGGCTCGGTCAGTTAAGCGTCTGACTCTTGGTTTTGGTTCAGGTTATGATCTAAGGGTCATTAGGTTGAGACCCACGTCCAGTTCTGTGCTGAGTGTGGAGCCTGTTTAAGATCCCCCCTCCCCATTTGTGCGTGCCTTCTCTCCTAAATAAATAAATAAAATAAAAATAAGAGTAAATCTTGAGTCTATAATTGCCTGCTTAATTGGCCTGGTGTGAGGCCTCAACTTCACAGGTATTTTTGTTTTGTTTTTCATCTTGAGGTGATTCTAATGTGCACCCAAGGTTGGGAAGCACTTAGAAGGAATTGGCATATATTCCCTAAGGAGTCAGCCTAAGCTGAGGTGTGATGGGGATGAAGGAGAACTGCCAGGCTCTGGTCAAACGTATTCTCCATTAAAGGAACATTGAGGATAGTGCAGACTAGTGGGTGTTGTGTTTTTGTTCTGTTCAACGTGGTGGTGTGGGGTAGGCTCGAGCAGTCTTGTCTTCGGTGATAACGGGTGGATATCTGTCTCTTGTTCTCCCAAGGGCCTGCTATGGTGTGCTGCGGTTCATCATGGAGAGTGGGGCCAAAGGCTGTGAGGTCGTGGTATCTGGGAAACTGCGAGGGCAGAGGGCCAAGTCCATGAAGTTCGTGGATGGCCTGATGATTCACAGTGGGGACCCTGTTAACTACTACGTTGATACTGCTGTGCGCCATGTTCTGCTCAGACAGGGTGAGCAGCTGGGAGCGCGGGGGCAAAGGGCCTTTAGCAGATAGATGCGGTCTTTCATGCGCACCTCAGTGTTGGGCAGTTCATTTTGGGAGGAGCAGAGCATGTTCATATTCCACTTGGGTTTATTGATGAGCTGTATTGAACTATAAGAAGGAAGTTGCTGAGATCAGTCAGCTCTTAGAGTTGGTTTGCTCGTCTTAGCCACCTGTGTACCCTTCAGTGATGACACGATGACGAGTCAGAAAGGTCACATCCTGCTCTTGGTCCTTGTCAGTGCCACGTTCTGTGGCGCTGTGCATGGGTTCCTTTTGCAAAAGTGTCCTGTTCATTGATTGATTAGAGGCATTTGTCTGAGAAGGGACCAGACCCAAGGGTGCTGGGGTAACCTACTGTTGTCTTCCTTCTGCCCTATCCTGTCGTGGGACCGGTGCAACCACAGCTAGATTCTAATTACAGCGTCTTCTAGGTGTGCTGGGCATCAAAGTGAAGATCATGCTTCCCTGGGACCCAAGTGGTAAGATTGGCCCTAAGAAGCCCCTGCCGGATCATGTGAGCATTGTGGAACCCAAAGACGAGATACTGCCCACCACGCCCATCTCGGAACAGAAGGGTGGGAAGCCAGAGCCGCCTGCTATGCCGCAGCCGGTACCCACCGCGTAACAGGTGTGTCTCGAGGGGCCTCTTGGGGCGGAATAGGACCCCTTTCCCTTGTCCTCGACAAATAGTATATCCCATACTGTGGGAAGCACGTAAGTACATAAACATTGGACTATACTTGCTTTATAACACAGGTTGGAGCCAGGGGCCCGTTTAACCAGGGATTCTGTAGGGAGGGGTATTTGCCTTGGTCTCCTAAGAAGTTCCTGTGTTTACCCCTGTGTTTGAAACAAGATTTTTCTTTTTATTTGCTTCAAATCAAGGCACTCTTGTTAATAATTAGTTATCTGTTCTTCAGCAGCCCCTTAAGCAGTTAAAACACCAAGGCTCTTCTATGCCCAGTACTTTTTGTTTGTTTCTAGGTGATCTGTGTGTATATATTCATACAAATCCTAAATGGGAAATGAAAGAACCCAATATTCAGGTGAAGATTCTGTTCTTACTGTTGTGCTTTATTTGGTTTCAGGGTCTCTTTGGCAGCTGGATCTGGAGACTATTTTAATCTGTAAAGACCTTTAATAAAATCTTTGAGAAAGACACATGGCGTGAATAGACTATGTCCACATTTGGTCTGAGAATTCTGTTGCCCCAAGGAAACATTGCTTGATTGATTTTTTTTTTCAGGGCTGCCTGGCTCACTTTCCCTGCCTGCTTTTCCTGAAATCCTTGATTCAGCTGTGCTTGTGAGGCAAGAGCAAGAACAGGAGGACCCAAACAGAGCTAACCAGAGTAATATCCTGTAAATCTGGTGAAAGCAAAGGCTGATTGCTCACAGGACAGCACCTTGAGAAGGGCTGAGGGTGAGGTGGTTTTGAGTAGACAAACTGGTGTTGGGAGGCCTCAGTACTGCACACGTGTAAAGTGAGATTTGAGTGCCTTGAATAAATGATTTCTGTGCCCACCCCTATATCTAATGCAATACAGGCAGCTATCATAAGGTTTTATTTATCCCTTCTGGATAAAACGAATGGCATTTTGCAATTTCACTGAAAAATGCTTGAGCTAGACTGCTTAATTCTTGTATTTCTGGACTTCTGTAGTTCTGTTGTGAAAGTAGCTCAGCTAGTCTGAGCATCCAGAATACTGGGTGCTGGAAACCGGTTAAGGCAGCCCTGGTCATGTGAGACCTCAGTGTCTGGTACTAGGACAGCCAGTCAGGTCTTTGTGCATCAGATTATGTGATTGTTTAAATTCCTTCCTTTCGGTCTACTTAGAACTGGAAGTTGGTGTGTTGGGATTCAGAAGTGCTGTTAATGTCCCACCAGAGGGTGCTGTAGCAGGAACTAGGCACCAAAGTAGTAGCTTGGGAAAGGAAAGTAAAACTCACTGAATTTGCGTGCACCTGTGGGAAACTATGCAAATTAGTGTGCACGTGTAAAGTTTGAGTTACCAAACGTGAGGATTCCTGGATAGCCATTATCGGGTAAAGAAAAGGAGAGGCTTTGGGGTATTTCTTTTAGCCATTTCAAAAAACGACATGAAATAAATGCAGAGCTTAGGTAAGCACTAACGACAGCCCCATGAAGAAATGCAGGTTACCCTAAACGATGTTACCACCACCCCTGGACTTCAAGTGAGTTTTTCCACTGCCTCCTTTCCTTGTGTCCGTCCCTTTGAAGTTCAAAGTTCCAGGTGTGGATATCTGGCTGACTAGTCCTGTGTCCAGTCCAGCTGCCTGAGGTGGGGAGAAAGATAGCTAGCCCCTTTGATTTCCATAGTAGAGGTGGGGCCCAGACTTGCACAGTGCTCTTCCCCCTCCCCCCAGTAGGCAAGGTTTTGATCCTGGGTAGCCAAAACTTGTGGAATGGCCCTTGGAACCCACTGATGGAAATCTGGCTGATGGCAACATGGAAGCAAATGCGATCCTTTCGTGGACTTCACCAGAAGGTTACTGTCAAGCTCTAAAGAGTTCTAGTCATTAGGATTCCTGGCACCGGGACGGGCTTCAAGCAGGAACTGGTAGATTAGCTTGTCCATCAGACAAGGAAAGAATAGCTGCTGGAATGTGAGAACTTGGAAATAGGCCCAGGGGCCTAGCAAGGGCCCAGGACCAATGGATAGCATTGTTAATGGAGAACCAGGAGAAGTACAGAAACTGGTGGCATCAGAGGACAATGGGTAGAAGGTGTCTTGGGGTGTGGGGATCTGCCTCCAGACAGAATCTTTCCTCTGGAGCCCACAGCAGGGTGATAATGGGGTCAGCCAACCCTCTAACTGGGAAATAAGGCAAAGGCTATGGCAATGTTCAAGCCTGGTGGGGTGGAGGATACCTTTCTCTGTAGAGTGCTTTTTTTTTTTTATTATTTTAGGTATTTATTTATTTGAGATAGAGAGTACAAGTGGGGAGGAAAGGGAGAAGCAGGCTCCCCACAGAGCAGGGAGCCCGATGCGGGACTCGATCCCAGGATCCTGGGATCATGACCTGAGCCGAAGGCAAACGCTTAACCGACTGAGCCACCCAGGCACCCGGCAGAGTGCTTTAAAAAGGAGACTTGAGAGGTGGTGGGGATAAGCTAGGCTTTGCAGTCAGACCCGGGTTCAAACGTGACAGCAGCACTGATCTACCGAGGTTGAATCTTTCTGATCCTCAGTATCTCAAGGGGCTGTTGGGAGTTAAAGAAGACTATTAATACCTGTCTGTAGTGTTTATCATCAGGTATATTATCTCTCAGGACAAAGGCTAAGAGCCCAGGCCTTCCAGCCAGACTCTGGATTCAAAACCAGTTTCACAACTTAGCAGTATGAGCATGGGGGCATCAAACATCTCTGAGCCTCTGCTCATCTGCCTCTGATTTCATAGCACAGTGCCTGACCCATAGGGAGTCCTCAGTGAATGTTAGATGTTACTATTGAGTACTTCAGCATATCTTCTTGGAAATCAATAGCTTAACTTGATGGTATTGGATTCTCCCCACCCTAACCATAAGGGCTCTGACCACAGAAACCGTGCTTTCTGCTTCTGTTGTGAAGTGGGCATCTCTGGTCAGGTCTCACTACCCCATTTTACAGGTGGTGAATTTGGGCTCTTAGCCATGCCATGTTCCACCTTCAACAGTGAATGTTTTTGAGCTCCAGTGTTGGCTGTGTGTAAGTGTAGCTGCTTCATGTTAGGGCTTGCCAACACCAGGGCAGGAAAGCATTCAAGTATCTGAGAGTCAACATTTTTCAACATCAAAAGATAGTTGTTCTTACTATTTTTTCTTCCTCAGGAACATGAGATTTTGATGTTACTTTATGAAATAAACCACTTCCCTATTTGTTAATTGATCGAAACTACGCGTGTAACTTGGTAAGCAACATGACCTTGGTGAGAAGATCATTGTTACATGCCCCGAGCTTATTGTAAACACTTCATTAATCTTCCCAACATCCCTGTAATGGGCCAGTTCCATTACCAGCTTCATTTTATAGCAACTTTAACCCACATCATACATCTTAGCAGAATGTGCGATTTCTCCTAGGCTTTGGAAAATATTTAGAATATCTCACAGTCCCTACTTCTGGTTTGAGAACAAATGTCATGGATAGGTTGGGAACAACTTACCTGATTCTAAACCCTCATTTTTACAAGTAAGAGTCCCAGTGGCTCTGAAATTCAAATGAGACCACGCCTCTGCTGCCCAGTCCTGCGTTGTACTAGCAGCCCAGCCAGTCAGGTGCAGCTGGGCCTTTGTCCACTGATGGAGTGCTGCTGCGATGGGTTCATCCCCCGCCTTCACCTTCAGTGGCTGGCCAGGGACTGCCCCCATGATCAGCCTGCTCCCACCAGTCCTTTGTGTGGTGAGCCAGAGGAGCTGGACCCTTTGAATCCCAAATTGCTGAGAGAGGATAGGGCTCCCCCGGCCTTTAAGAATATTTTTGCTTTTTAGAGGGAGGAGAGGGAGAGCATAGACCCAGTAATAGGGCAGCTTTTCCCTTCAGGGATGGGAGACCAGAGGTGATGGATCTTTACTCACTGGTTTTCCCCCAATACAACAGGAAAAGTAGCCATAGCTATTTACCATCTGGGTCCAATAGACACCCTACCTTTTATATCTTAAGTCACTTTAATTTACAGAAGTAAAAGGGAAAGTGGAAAATGTTTCATTTTATAAATTTTACAAGTATTCAAACAAGTATTTAAAAATACTAAAATTTGGGGGCGCCTGGGTGGCTCAGATGGTTAAACGTCTGCCTTCGGCTCAGGTCATGATCCCGGGGTCCTGGGATCAAGTCCCACATCGGGCTCCCTGCTCCTTGGGAGCCTGCTTCTCCCTCTGCCTCTCTCTCTCTCTCTCTCTGTCTCATGAATAAATAAATAAAATCTTTAAAAAAAAAAATACTAAAATTTGGGGGCACTTGGGTGGCTCAGTCAGTTAAGCTACTGCCTTTGGCTCATGTCATGATTCTAGGGTCCTAGGATGGAGTCCCGCATGGGGCTCCCTGCTCAGCAGGGAGCCTGCTTCTCCCTCTCCTGCTCCCCCTGCTTGTGTGCTCGCTTGCTTGCTCTCTGTCAAATAAAATCTTAAAAAAAAAATACTAAAATTTTAGCAAGCAGTAACAGCACCATTCTGAATATACTAAAAAACATTGAATTAATACCCTTCAAATGGGGGTTTATGGGTTGTGAATTACATCTCAATAAAACTGTCACATATTCACGAAAATAGGTACTTACATACGTGTGTGTGTGTGTGTGTGTGTGTATGAATTAAAACAGCAATTTCTTAATTTTCCTTGCCTGGAAATACCCAAAAAGAGTACCATCCCTTGAATGCAGTTAAATGCTCATCAGCCACCATGTGTGCAGCTGGAATGTATTCATCTTATAACTACTGATCCCAGATTTCAGATATATCTAGTAGGCTCTAGCTTACTGCTTCTGGGGTTTTGGTTTTGTTTAGTTTTGCACTTGCATTGTCAACAATGAATACTTAAAAAATTTTTGATGGCTCATGATGTTGAAGAGAGGACAGTCATTTTCTTTGCTCCATAGTTTTAAAACATTTTTGATTTTGGATTTATAAAGATCAATTTGAAAGACCAATCTAATGAGTTTTAAAAATACCTATAGCATCTGTTTCCCTATGGTCACCTGAGTACCCAACTGCTTCAGCATGTCTCCACTTATGAACTGTAACAAACATATCAAGTAAATTTTGGGGCATAGGCATCATAAAAGATGAATACTGGACAAAATAGGGTGGTATGGGTCTTTGTCAAAAAACATTGTGTGATGAAATCCTCCCTGTTGAATGATTTAAAATGCCATATTTCCTGTCTGTTTTTAGAAATATGTTGTGTACTCACCAATTCTTGAGTTTAAGAAACATTGATGTAGGAAAGATTTGTTTATATGACCAATTTCCCCATCCTCAGACTAGAGTGCTACCGTGTGTCTCTGCATTCATTTTCTGATTTGTCTGTATTAAGTGTGAAAGATCCTCTGTCCGCTTTCTTCTCTTGTGTCATTTTGGGTGGAAAATGAAAAATCCTGAATTCTCAGCCAGCGTCTCTGGACTTCTTGTACCTTCTTGAAAGATGATCTGTAGTACTTTAGGGAATACAGTATGGAAACTGAAGGACGATGTGATAGTGATAGTGATGGTGTATTCACTATTCCATCTTCCGGGAAATACCATCCTTCCATTTTATCATCATCATCTTGTTTGGGAATAACTGATGAGTAACATGAAATAATTTTTAGGATGATGAAATAGCAAAGTTTTTCAAGATAGAGGAAAATAAATTCATCATGATCTCATAATGTATTTTGGATTTATACAAGAATCTAATGAATCCATATGGTGATTGTAAGATAGAATGAGTATTACGTGTTTTTTGAAAGGTAAGTAAATTTCTCATTTTGTTTTGTTTAGAAGCCCACTAAGAATAACAGTCCTAAAATACCAATCCTTATAAATAGTTAGAACTTCTCAAAAACGAAACTCAAAAACTAAATTTGGGTTCAGTGGCTTCTGATGGCATATGAAGAGTTAAGTGTGTTCTCAGCTGGGGAGAGTATGGCAAACCCATGTGACTAAGGAGTCATATACTCAGAACTTGTGGTTTGGTTTCCTGTTGGATAGCGACAGTCCCTCTCATTCAGCAGGCAGCCCAGGTGGGGCAAAGAGCAGTGGGCTAGGAGCCAGGGAGGCCCTCCATATATGGTCTTGGTCAAACCCACAGTCCTAGGAAATTAGGACACATGGGTGTGTAACTTTTGCTTTGTATCGTGTTCTGTGAGCCTCACTCACCAGGGAGATGAACCATGTCTCCCCCTCATCCGACTGGAAGCCCCTAAAGGCAGGGACCAAATCCTATGAGGCTGGGATTTCCCAGGGTGTAAATGATGTACAGTAGCGCCAGCTCCCCCTCCCCCCCCAAAATTCCGTGGTTTCACTTTCTGCGATTTCAGTTACCTGAGATCAACTGTGTTCTGGAAGCAGACGATCCTCCTTCTGACTTAAGTCAGGTCAGTAGTAGCCTAATGCTGCATCATGATGTCTGTGTCATTTGCCTGATTTTATCTCATCCTGTAGGCATTTACCATCTCACATCATCACAAGAAGAAGGGTAAGTATAGTTCAAAAAGATATTTTGAGGGAGCCCACATTCACATAACTTTTATTACACTGTATTACAATTTTTGTTATTATTTTTAATCTATTACTACTGTGCCTAATTTATAAATTAAACTTTATCCTAGTTATGTATGTATGTATAGGAAACACAGTGTGTGCAGGGTTTGCTACCATCTGGTTTCAGGCATCTGCTGGTGGTCTTGGGACGTATCCCCCATAGATAAGATACTGTATTTTCTACTTCTAAGGAACTCAGGTGCTACCCTCCACACTCTTTTCCCAGATTAGCTTTCTCAGATTCACAGAGCCTGGGTGAGGCTGCATGGAGACAGCAGGCTTTGGAGATAGCTGGACCCAGGAATCCTGGCTCTGCCACCACTCACTAGACCAGTGACATTAGTAGACAAATGACTTCACAACTCTTGAGTCTCCATTTCCTCATTGGTTAAGTGGGGCGGTAGTACTTACCTCACAGATATTATAAAATAGAAATCCAGGAAACTTTGATGTAGCATACAGAGGTGGGTGCAGGGTGGGCTCTTGTTCCAGGCATTGGGGGATAGAGAGATAAAGCTGACATCTTTCCTGCCTCAAGAAGCATCCTATGGGTATGTCAGGGAAGACTAGAGATGTCATATATAAAGGCCTGGCCATATGCCTCGTGGTAAAAGGGGGGTAGATAAGGGCATAAGGAGAGAGGAGTCAGCTCTGGAGTAGAGGGTGTTGGATCTGTCCAGGCAGAGAGAGCAGGAAAGGGCATTGGCGCTTGGACGGAGCATGAATGGTCATTGTTGGGGAAATGGGGTGGTCTGCTTGGCACACAGGAAGTGCCCAGCCCAGGTGAGGTGCCCATGTTCTCAAGATCTTACCCTGAATTTGCCCCTACCTTTTCCACTCAGGCTTTTGCTTGGGTGGTTAAACAATACAGCACTTGGCTTTGTCCTGGGTGTTATCCGTGGGGTGGGGACAGGCAGGCTCTGAGGGGCTGGGCCTCCCCACTACTCCCCTCCCCTCCTCTTTGCCATTATCAGCTGTGTCCAGATGGTCACAGGCTTCCTAATCTGAGATCATCAGAGGGTAGCAGCTCAGCTGGGACCCAGGCCTTTGTGCTAGGCTGCGATGGGCCAGCCCCAGCTGGAGAGACCCCACAGATAGGGCCCTGGGGCTTTGGAAGACAGGGAGGGGCATGGGGCTGTGCCGGAGGGGATGCAGGGAGCAGATGATAGCTCTTCAAAAGGCAATCTGAGTGCACATGATGGGGAGCCCCAGATGGGACCTGGCCAGCTCCTCTGGGCCTCAGAAACACAAGCATAGGACCTGAACCCTCTGGGTCTCTGCCTGACAGAATACGTGACATCTTTTGTCCCCTCTTTCCTCTGAGCTCATCCCTCCCCCTCTAGCAGTTTTATGTTGCTGCCCATAGAGCCTCAGGCCACCCGGGTGCTTATGATGGCAAGAGGGGCTCATGCCCCCTGGTGATGTTGGGGAGCTCACAGGTCCAGGTGCAGAGCTGGGTTGGCTGGGTTCTCCGGCCTGGGCCTGCAGCTTGCTGCGAGCCTTGGCCTCAGGGCTGCTCGGTGTCCCACACTGTCTTCTGTTTTGTTTCTGCTTCTCTGATGAGGCGGGGAGGCCTACCTTGGCCGTGACTTCTAGCAGTGAGACTGGTTTGTAATCCCGTTTTTTTAAAGCTTTATCCTAGAGTCTGAACCCCAGAGCTGGAGCTTCTCCCTTTCTCATGGTTTTATAATTCCACTGTTGCTGGTCCTTGGACATGTTTGCTTACTTATAAGCCTAAGCCTCTATCTTTTTAGTAGTTTGGCTTTTAATTTTATCTGTTATTGCTAAGTGTTTGGAGAGGGTGGTTTAGAAAGAGAAACATCCTGACCAGAAATGCTTCATAGATTCTGAAGCTTCATGAAGTCTTATGAGTCATGGACTCGGCCAGTTACTAAGTATGTGATCTTGGGCAAGTCTCCTCATCTTTTAAGGCAGTTCTTTTTCTGTAAAATACAAATCTTAATAACTAGCTCATTAAAAGTTAAAAAAATGCCAGTAACCTCGTATTTAAGGACAGTGATTACCTTTGGGAGGAATGTGGGAAGGAATGGGTTTGGAAATGGAGGTGCCTACAAAGGCATTTGTAACAATCTTTCTTAAGCTAGATGGTGGAAACATATTTATTGTAATTCTTAAACTGTACAAAAATATATACTTTTTGTGAAGTATTTCATAATTTTTAAAACATGTCCACACTGCCATTTTGAAGGTAAACAAGGTAACATATGAAGGTGCTTTGTAAAGAGTCAAAGCAGGGAGCAGATACTGGGTATTACTTCTCCAGACAAAGCAGGCTTGAGCTGGAACACAGACCCAACCTTTGAACAAGGTTTTATTTCGGGCGCCTGGGTGGCTCAGTTGGTTAAACCACTGCCTTCGGCTCAGGTCATGATCCTGGAGTTACGGGATCAAGTCCCGCATCAGGCTCCCTGCTCTGCAGGGAGTCTGCTCCTCCCTCTGACCCTCCCCCTGCTCATGTGCTCTCTCATTCTCGCTCTCTCAAATAAATAAAATCTTAAAAAAAAAAAAAATGAACAAGGTTTTATTTCTGTAAGAAAGGGATGCAATAAGTTAAGGGGCTATTTACATGGAGGTACCATGAGGGGAGCAGTGGTGAGCCTGAGTTCTCCTTTCTCTGCTTCCTGGCTCAGGCTGTTCAAGTTTGAGTCACCTGCCCAGGCTCTGAATGATGGTAATGCAGCCATGGGAGCTGGTGCAGCGCTGTAGGGATGGCTGGGCCTCCACCTGCCCATTGCTGGGGTCAAAGGTGAAGACCTTGTCGGTGCTCTCCCCAAGATCATCCCGCCCACCAAGGATGTGGACCTTCCCGTCACACACAGTCACGCCACAGCTCTCCTGGGTAGACAAACAGAAAGATAATCAGCTATGGGGTCCAGTGTGGGGCTCCCTCTGTCCCAGCTGGCCAGTCCAGACAATAAAACCTTGACCCACAGAATATGAGCAGGCAGTCTGGATGGCAGAAAGGCAGGAACTGAGTCGGTTTGAGTTCAAGCTCTGGCTTGACTCTTACTACATAGCTTTAGACAAGTCACTTAAGCTCCCTGGGCTTCAGTTTCCTCCCCTGCAAAGTAAGAATAATAGTAGTACCTTCTTCATAAGGTTGCCTTAACAGTTAATGGGGTTAAGCATGTAAAGCATTTTACATAGTGCTAGGAAGACAGTAAGCACTCCAGGAACAGTGACAACAATCACCACCACCACCGCCCTAAGATCTCAGACTCAGAGAAGCCAGAAATCTCAAGCTCTTAGAATCACTGAAGGTCAGAACTGGCAGGGACTACCAATCCAACCACACCCCTATGTAGTCTCTGGAATTTCGGGGAAGGGGACAATAGGTGGGGGAGGCCAGGAATGCAGGGGACAAAGCCTCCAGGGCCTGGACCTCCCTGCTCTGATATTACTAGGGCAGGGGAACTTAACAAGTCCCTTCTCTACCCTGACCTCCCCGCAACAGGCAACCAGCTGGTGGCCTTCAGGACAAGAGACTTCAGGGTCATTTAGACCAAGACCCTCATCCAAGGCTAAAGCACTTGGAACTGGGGTTCCATGCTCTGCTTTAACATGGCTTAACTGGAGGCCTTGGGCGAGGCCTCAATCTCTAAGGCTGGTCTCTTCATCTGTGGAACACAAGGCTCATTATTCTAATGAGGACAAAGCTAAGGAACTAGGTATAACTGCCTAGCATGGAGTCAGAGACAGACTCAACAACCTCTGAGTTCCACATCCTTAGACATGGGACTTTGCTCTCCCGATCGGAACCAGTACCAAGGCTGTACCTGGGAGCCTCTACTTACCACGGGGCTGGGGAGGACAGCTGCCTCCCCCCAGACATCTGTGCCAGGG